GCTGTTAGTCTGATGGGCTTCCCTTTGTGGGTAACCCGACCTTTCTCTCTGGCTGCCCTTAACATTTTTTCCTCCATTTCAACTTTGGTGAATCTGACAATTACGTGTCTTGGAGTTGCTCTTCTTGAGAGGTATCTTTGTGGCATTCTCTGTATTTCCTGAATTTGAATGTTGACCCGCCTTGCTAGGTTGGGGAAGTTCTCCTGGATAATATCCTGAAGAGTGTTTTCCAACTTGGTTCCATTCTCCCCATCACTTTCAGGTACACCAATCAGATGTAGATTTGGTCTTTTAACATAGTACCATATTTCTTGGAGGCTTTGTTCTTTTTACTTTTTTTCTCCAAATTTCTCTTCTCGCTTCATTTCATTCATTTGATCTTCACTGATACCCTTTCTTCCACTTGATCGAATTGGCTACTGAAGCTTGTGCATGTATCACGTAGTTCTCGTGCCATGGTTTTCAGCTCCATCAGGTCATTTAAAGTCCTCTCTATGCTGTTTATTCTAGTTAGCCATTCATCTAATCTTTTTTCAAGATTTTTAGCTTCTTTGCAATGGGTTCGAACATCCTCCTTTAGCTTGGAGAAGTTTGTTATTACCGATCGTCTGAAGCCTTCTTCTCTCAACTCGTCAAAGTTATTCTCCATCCAGCTTTGTTCCATTGCTGGTGAGGAGCTGCGTTCCTTTGGAGAAGAAGAGGTGCTCTGATGTTTAGAATTTTCAGCTTTTCTACTCTGGTTTCTCCCCATCTTTGTGGTTTTATCTACCTTTGGTCTTTGACAATGGTGATGTACAGATGGATTTTGGTGTGGATGTCCTTTCTGTTAGTTTTCCTTTTAACAGTCAGGACCCTCAGCTGAGGTCTGTTGGAGTTTGCTGGAGGTCCACTCCAGACCCTGTTTGCCTGGGTATCACCAGCAGAGGTTGCAGAACAGCAAATATTGCAGAGCAGCGAATGTTGCTCCCTGATCCTTCCTCTGGAAGCTTTGTCACAAAGGGGCACCCAGCCGTATGAGGTGTCAGTTGGCCCCTACTGGGAGGTACTTCCCAGTTAGGCTACTCAGGGCTCTGGGACCCACTGGAGGAAGCAGACTGTCTGTTCTCAGATCTCAAACTCTGCTGGGAGGACCACTACTCTCTTCAAAGCTGTCAGACAGGGATGTTTAAGTCTGCAGAAGTTTCTGCTGCCTTTTGTTCAGCTATCCAGTATGCATTCTTATGTATGCTTGTGTCCTTTCAGGAATTCGAAGGTTCTTGGCAGATCTGAAGGGTATCCCACATTCCTTACATTCATAGGGTTTCTCTCCATTGTGTCTCCTACCACACACTCAAAAGTGTGAGGCAGATCTGAAGGCTTTCCCTCATTGGTTACACTCATAGGATTTATCTTCAGGATGAGTCCTACCATGCATTCGAAGGACTGAGGCAGCTCTGAAGGCTTTCCCACATTGCTTGCATTTGTAGGGTTTCTCTCCAGTGTGAGTCCTTTCATGATATCGAAAGGAACTAGAACTACTGAAGGCTTCACCACATTGCTTGCATTCATAGAGTTTCTCTCCAGTGTGAGTTTTTTCATGTCTTTGAAATGATTTGGGACAATAAAAGCCTTTCCCACATATCTTACATTTATAAGGTCTATCTCCAGAGTGTATTCTTATGTGTGTTTGTGTCCTTTCATGACTTTGAAGGTTCTTCATAGATCTGAAGGCTTTCCCACATTCCTTACATTCATAGGGTTTCTCTCCAGTGTGAGTCCTACCATGCAATCGAAGGTGTGAGGCAGATCTGAAGGATTTCCCACATTGCTTACATTCATAGGGTTTCTCTCCAGTGTGAGTCCTTTCATGATATCGAAGGGAACTGGAATGAATGAAGGCTTTACCGCATTGCCTGCATTTATAGGGTTTCTCTCCACTGTGAGTTTTTTCATGTCTTTGAAATGAATTTGCAGAACAAAAGCCTTTCCCACATACCTTACATTCATAAGGTCTTTCTCCAGAGTGCATTCTTACGTGTGTTTGAAAACTTGTAAGAGAGGATAATGCTTTCCCACACTGCTTACATTCATAGGGTTTTTTCCCAGAGTGGGTCCTTTCATGTCTACGAACATAATGGGGACACGTGAATGCTTTCCCACATTCCTTACATTGATAAGACTTCTCTCCCATGTGAATCATTTCATGTCTACGACAGCATCTGGGACTATGAAATGCTTTCCCACATTCCTGACATTCATAAGGCTTTTCTCCAGTGTGAGTTCTTTTATGTATTTGAAGGGCAGCAGAATAACTGAAGGATTTACCACATTGTTTACATTCATATGGTTTCTCTCCAGTGTGAGTTCTTTCATGGATAAGATATAAACTGAGACAATGGAAGGCTTTCCCACAAAATTTACATTTATAAGGTCCATCTCCTTTGTGTATTACCATGTGTCTTTGAATGCTTGAATGGGAAACAAAGGTTTTTCCACATTCTTTACAAACATAGGGTTTCTCTCCAGTGTGATCCCTTTCTTGTGCTCTAAAGGAGGGGTGATATCTGAAGGCTTTTTTAAGTTGTTGACACTTACATGGCTTCGGTCCATATTCCTGATACTCATATGCCTTGTGTCCAATGTCACCTCTGATGCTCATATTAAAAGATGAGTTACCTATGCCAACTTCACCATACACAAAGCTGTCACATGATTTTACTTCAGGAGAAGTTTGCTTCTCCTGGAAGTTCAGCCTGTCATCTGGAACCTGGGTAAAAGTTTCTCCACAATGACTATCTTCTTTAATTTCATTGACTTTCTCTTCTATGAGACTCCTGTAAAACATGAGAAGCACATTATGACGAGTTTGTTTATAAGTAATTTTATATTCATCATCAAGTATTGCACTGCATTTTTAACACTGTCCATCAAAGTGTAGGCTTTCGGCCCTGGCTGAATTGTTTGAAGGTGACTGGACAACGTGTTCTACAAGGTGTCCCAGCCATAACTATTATTTTAAAAAATGTTTATATGGGGCTTCTTAATACTCTTCCCAAGTAAACTATTTTACAAATACTAAATACTCTGTGTCATTTTTCTTTTGTTTCAGGGTCTAGTCCTGTTATCCATGCTGGAGTGCAGTGAAACCATCATAGCTTACGGCAGGCTTTACTGGCTCAAGTGATCCTCCTGCCTCAGTCTCCTGAGTAGCTGGGACATGGATGCATACCACAATGCCCAGCTAATTTTTTGCTGTTGTTGATATATGGTCTCGTTATGTTGCCCAGGCTGTTTTTGAACTGCTGGACTCAAACTATCCTCCTATCTCTACTTCTCAAAGGATTGGGATTACAGAAGTGAGCCCACAGCCTATGTCACATTTACATTTTTTTTTTTTTTTTTTGGTCAAATATTCTAAAAATAAATGAACTTGATCCTGGACTTAGTTCTTTGTTTTACTTATTTTCAATATATTGTCATATTCTAGGATTGTCTAGAGAGACACTGCTTTGTCTTGTAAGTACAAATTACCTGAAGTTTCTCCTGGGGTTTTGGTACTCATATTCAATGTTCTGGTCTTTCCAACTTTTTCCTAAAATACAGACACACAAAAATAGTCCTGAGGCATTATAAAATTGTGAAAAAATTATTAGATTCTATGCCCATGATTTACTGCAGCCATACCTCATTTATTCATCAAAGTATTTCCTGTTTATGTTCTAAATCACTCAACAGCATTGATGAGCTAGAAACACTGGTTCACTAATGGACTGAGGGAAGGAATATTGTCATTCTTACCTATAGAGGTCAGGTTCCTGAAAGTTTCCAGCATCACTTCCCTGTAGAGATTCTTCTGAAAAATATCCAGCAAAGCCCACTCCTCCTGGGTGAAGTTCACAGCCACATCCTCAAAGGCCACCGGGTCCTGAAACATCTCACATGTGTAGAGGAGGATGGGTGAGAGTGACAGCACTGGGGGCCTAGACTCTATTCCCAAGATGTTCTCAGGATGCCGTGGACTCCAAACACTTATTCCCCGCTTTGCTCATCAGATCCCTTTCCCTCTGTATATACAGGGAGAAACTTTCTTCCATAATGCAATTTTTTTTTGTTTGTTTGTTTTTGAGACGGAGTCTCGCTCTGTCACCCAGGCTGGTGTGCAGTGGCCCGATCTTGGCTCACTGCAAGCTCTGCCTCCCCAGTTCAAGTCATTCTCCTGCCTCAGCCTCCCAAGTAGCTGGGACTACAGGTGACTGCCACCACGCCTGGCTAACTTTTTTGTATTTTTAGTGGAGGCGGGGTTTCACTGTGTTAGCCAGGATGGTCTTGATCTCCTAACCTCGTGATCTGCCCACCTTGACCTCCCAAGGTGCTGGGATTACAGGCGTGAGCCACGTACCTGACTTTTTTTTTTTTTTCTTTGAGACAGATTTTCACTCTTGTCGCCCAGGCTGCACCGCTGGGGTCTAGCACTTCTACTTCCTCAGCCTCCTGAGTAGCTAAGATTACAGGCATGTGCCACCATACCCAGCTAAGTTTGTATTTTTACTAGAGACAGAGTTTCTCCATGTTGGTCAGGCTGCCGACCGCAGGTGATCTGCCTGCCTCAGCCTCCCAAAGTGCTGGGATTACAGGCATGAGCTACCATGCCCTGCCAGCAGTTGTTTTTGGTTTTTTTAAAGACAGTATCTTGCACTGTTACCCAGACTGGAGTGTAGTGGTACCATCTTGGCTCACTACAACGTCTTACTCCTGGGTTCATGTGATTGTCAGGCCTCAGCCTCCTGAGTAGTTGAGACCACAGGCATGTGCCACAACACCTGGCTACTTCATAAAGCAACTGTGATGCTAGAACTGAACAAGGGGTAAAGTCAAAGTCACTGCAGGATAGGAAAATGTGTGTATTCACTGAACCCAGGGAGAAAAGTGAACTGCCTGGGCTGTCCCTAATGTCTCTTTGGACTGTGGGTCTGCAGCACCTGTCATAATAGACACCTATGAATTCATATGCAGAACAAAGTTAACATTAGCAGACCTGAGGCTGTGCATCCTTGAAAATGCCTGTTCCCAAAGTGTAATCTTTGTTGATATTGTCAGATGAAGCAGATAGCTAGCAAAGAGCATGAGGGGGAGCCCCTGGGAAATCCCACACCCCCAGGGACTACCCAAAACAGGTATGCTAGATATAAACAGAGAGTAGGGGAATCACCTGCATAGAAAGAAACTTCCAATATGATGTACAGGAATCATTCACTTTGCAGTTATCCTGTCAGAATGTAGCTAGATGCTGACAGGGCAAAGGGGACATTCCTAAAAAAAACCTGGCACTGTATGTACACAAGAGGGCAAACAAGAAACTCCTAAAAGATACCCAGGTGTAATAAGCACAGATTTAACCACTATACAACCTTCCTGAGGTGGCAGTAATGAGCAATGCAGCCAATAACCTATCCATTGACGGCTGAATGGAAAAACAAAATGTGGTAAGCATATACATAAAATGCGATATTATTTACTATTAGAAAATGACATCTCAGCCGGGCATGGTGGCTCATGCCTGTAATCCCAGCACTTTGGAAGGCCAAGGCGGGCGGATCACCTGAAGGTCTGAGGTTAAGATCTGCCTGACCAGCATGGAGAAACCCCATCTCTACAAAAAATACAAAATTACCCAGGCGTGTTGGCATGTGCCTGTAATCCCAGCTACTCGGGAGGCTGAGGCAGGAGAATTGCTTGAACCTAGGAGGCAGGTGAGCCAACATTGCGCCACTGCACTCCAGCCTGGGCAACAAGAGTGAAACTCCGACTCAAAAACAAAAAAGAAAAGAAAATGAAATCTTGGCCCATACTACAACATGCATGAAATCTCCGGATAATTGAAAAAAGCAAAATACAATAGAATTCATCTTAGAGAACTTAAGTAGATTTGTCAAACCATCGCAACTGTACATGTAAAATTTCTTCAGCTGATAAGTTTTACATTCTTTTAAGATAAGTAATGATAATAAATCATGGTAGCAGCCAGGCATGGTGGCTCATGCCTGTAATCCCAGCACTTTGGAAGATTGAGGTGGGTGGAT